TCCTACTTCCTTTTTTCACTACTTATTCTTTACTACTATCATTTTATTAAATACTAGCTTTATCCACAAAAGATACCGTAATTTCTCTAAAATTAAACGGGCCCTGACACAAGGCCGTAGCTATGGGAGGGGCCCTGTGGGGGGAGGCAGGCCCATCCAAAAAATTTTGGCCCACAAACTTGGCCCCAGAAAAAATCTTTGGCTTCCAAAAATAGCCCCCATAAATTTTTCCGCCCCCCCCCTTCTCTACCCCCCAAAAATATTTGATTATTTTTATATTTATAAAATAAATTTTAAATATTTATTCAAAAAACATGTCTTGTTTGTAAATTTCTTCCTATCATGTTTTATTTTTATCCGATAATAAATCATCATTCATTCATATTTTATCATTTTCATGTGTGTTTGTGTATAACATTATATAGACGCTTAATTATAACGTTTAAATTATACTTATTTCAATGATAATTATTATATTTATTATGATTCAATCACAATATTACTATCTTTTAAAGGTGTCTGATTGGGTTCAAATCATAAAAAACCGGGATTTTCTGAAGCTATAAGTGGTTACTCAAGGCTTGATATATATATCAAATCTAAGGATACAGATTGATACCGATCTTTAAATATTTATTAAAGTAAAAAAGGCAAAATAATATTATCTAAGCCCGATATAACCATTTATTTAAAACATTGGTGAATATTTTAGCATTTTAAAGAAAATACTGAGATAACAACAATTTTGGTAAGCCAACAAATTAACCTAATCTTTACGATCTTAAATCAATATTTCATGATATTTCTTAACATACAGGAGCTACCCTTCCGTGAAACTGGTCAACAAAAATTACTGATGCTGCAAACGTAGAAAACATAATTTATTATTACTGGACTACTTATAGCAATATTTTCATACACCATCCAAATAGATCCTGAATTAAATAAAATTATCAAATTAATACTCTAAAATGCCTAATATACATCACCCCAGATTTAAAACGAAGTAATATCCTATTATGGCAGATATAGTTGAACATATCTCAGATAAATATAACAAAAGTGAGATGCCTTTTTTTGTCTTAAGTCTGATGAGACAAAAGATGTATCAGGTTGTGAAACCTGAGCATTATTATTCGCTATATTTTTTTGTGGAGAAATCCAAGAAAATTTAATCGGAATTATTAATTTACAGTGTTTTACTGCTGAAAGCATTACTGATTGCATTTTAAAGCAACTTAATGCGTTAAGTATTAATTAAACGAATATGATAAACCAAGCATATGATAGTGCAAACGTTATGTCTGGCCAAAATTGGAGGAGCGCAAACTCTACTTCAAAAAAAAATTAATATTGCTACAACCACATTTTGCATCATGTGGAAAATTGGTATAATAATATTGTTAACATTTCTAATTTTTTTAATTTATTCAATGCATTGAATAATTTTTTAGGCGGTTTAACGTATCCTGTAAATATGCTGGCCATACTCTTAAGAGACTTTTAGACCAGAGGTGACAAGTCATTTAGAAACATCTTACATCATTTATGTTAACTTTGAGGCTATTGATGGAGTATTCGTTTATTACTATAGAACTCTAAATTCAGAGGTTTCCAATGATTATGTAGAAGTTTCTGGTCTCTTATCTCAATACGTGCCATTATAATTTGTGAGATATTAATAACAATAGATCCACTATTTAAGTATCTTCAGTCTTAGATACTTATCAAGTGGATGCTATAAATTGTATTGATTCCATGATCAATATATTTAAAAAATATAAGAAGCAATAATTCTATTGATTTTATTAGAATAAAGGCTTAAAAACCTATAGCAAAATTTAATCTCACTCCCCACAAATCATCAAGTGTAGTAAAATGCCTATAAATCCAATATTTTTTAGTCGAAACCAAATTACAATTTTATTGCGAAAAAAACTCCAATTGGAGTTCTTTAAAATGGAATTATAATGAAATTATTGATTACTTTGTTGATAATTTTTTAGATAGATTTATACAAGATGATTATAATCTTCTATCAAGTTTTAATGCATTGTCCTTCTTTGATAGTGATTATTTTATATCGGACAAAATAGCTCGATTAAAATAATTATTAAACTTAAATATGGAAATTTTACATCATGAAATGAAAATAGCTATAGGATTATTAGCTGCAGAAGTTAAGGAAACACATAATTTTGAAAATATTCGAAATATTATGTATTAAAAAAATATCATCATGCATTTAAAGAATTGTATAAATGCTACTCAGCAGCCATCATCATTGGGGTACCAACGGCTTCTTTCTCTCTCTATAATAAAGGAAGTTCTGCACCAAAGGGTCGATGAAAGATAAAAGTAAGAAAATTTAGTATTGATGGCTTATGAAAAAAAAATTAAAATTTATCATTTAATTCATTTATGTTAAAATTTAAAAGTAATCGTCGTATTATATTTTAATAGTATTTTTGTATGTTCATATTATAGTATTATTCTGTATTCATATAACATTAATAGTAAAAATACCCAAAAATTTATTGAATGTTTAAATATATGTCTTATTTAAAAAAAATAGTGGCTTCCTAAGTAAGCAGCTGTTCCCCCTAACTGAAAATTCCTGGCTAGGCCCCTGCCCTGACAGTAGGGTAAATTAATGTCAATCCTTTTAGTGGATGTTAGCTCATCCACGAGAGGTACCGTAAGCCCTCTTAAACTAAACGGGCCCTGACAGTAGGGTAAATTACTGCCAAGCAGTGGATGCAAATCCACTGCACTGGATACGCCCTCTTTTGGGTGGTGGAAGCCACTTAATTGTGTGTTTCCCCAGTGAAGGACAAGGCAAGACAAATACTTATAAAACAAAATTTTAAATTTATACACAGATTCCCAAAATAAATTAAAATATGAATGGTATTCAAAAACAAATGAAATTACTAAATAAAAGCTCTGATTAATTCGATTAATTTGGTTGTGGGTGAATTGTTCTGATGATTTTATATAGGGTTTAACATTTCCTCAAAATTTAAAAATCTTCAAATATCTTGCTCTTTTAAAGATCAAAAAAAATTGAAGATTTTTTCCTAAAAAAATTAGCATGCTGAATGAAGACTTTTGAGCAAGAAAAAATTTTTTTGTAAAAAAAAACTTCTATCATTTTGAGTAACTAATTTGGAATATTTTTAATATAAAAAATCTTTTTTTTCTCCTTTAATTTTTAAAACCAGGGGTGGACTGGCCAGTAAGTCTAGTGGGGAAATCGCTTATGGGGCCTCGAGATTTTACAAATTTGGGGGCATTCTTAGCAAAGAAAAGAGAATTTTTTTTAAAAAAATTGGCATAAAATCTAAATATGTTTTAATAGAAATTTTTTTAAAGATTATAAATTATAATTATTAAATATTAATTATCTGGTGGAATTATAATCACTATAAAAAAATTCATTCATGTAAAAATAAAACCATTTATTGTCTTAAAATAAATAGCCGCAAGTAAATATTAAAATTAATTTATGCATTATTTATTGTTTATATATAGAAAACACGAAATTATTATTATAATATAAACATTTATTGTAAATGGACTGAAATGAAAATATTAAACAACACAAGCAAAACCATACTCCATAAAAAATAATTATATTAATGTTAAATAATATTGAAATACAAATATGTTTATGTATGACATAGGCGTAGCCAGGATTTTCCTAAGGGGGGGGGGGAATTAAAAAAATTTTGGGGGCTTCGTCCCCAGACCCTATTTTGGGCGGGGCTTCGGCCGGGTTACCTTAGTCTATATATAGTCATAAAAATTTTTACAAGATAGGAGGTTAATTTTAATAAAAAAAATAAGCCTGGAACAAATATTAAATATTTTTATTATTTTATATAAAATATAATAAATTACTTGTATATACATTAATATTAAAGAATGGTAATAATTTATTCCAAACAAGTATAAGAAATTTATTTATAAAGAGTAGGTATACATATAGTTGATATTCCTCTATTATAAAGAATTAGTTACAAAATACTAGGTAAAATTCCACTTTTACAGACATATTTGAGAGTTAGAGAATATATTACATTTAATATTTAACAAATTTTACTAATTAATGCTTGATAATAAATATAAATTTGCATTCAATTATTTAACGCCATCAATTTATTTTTAATAAAAATTGATATTAAAAATTAATCTTCATATTATTCATCCCACAATGTCTTTAAAATATATTTTCTGATGTACTTATTAATATTTTATAGTTTTCTGTAAAATATATAATTCGCTAAATTAGTTGTTTGTCATATGATAATTGATAAATTTAGATACACTGTAAATCTACGACATATAATATTCTATTGTTTATATTGTACTTTTTTTATATTTAATTTATGATTTAATTTTATCAATAGTTTTATAATTATATTTTACTTTTATTATGATAAATAAATTAAAATTATTCACTTTTTATAAAATTATATTTGATATATTATATTATTTAGTAATTTTATGGATCTATTATTAATAATTATAATACATTTCACTTTTGTCTTAAGACTTATCTTTGGCTTATATTCCATTTCTTAAAATACATTTTTGGTTATTTATTTTAAGTCAAAACCGTTTAATTGCGAAAGCTTGGGACAAAAATATTTAAAAAATTCGCAATTATCCGATTTTTCGCAATTATACGATTAAAAACCAATAATTTATTTATTTAAAATCAGTTTGTGTTTTTATGCAAATATTTATCATCTATATATATTTTAAGCATATAAACTATCAAACTTTGTAATAAATACATTTTTTATGTACCAACTATATATATAAATTTGAATAAGTTATAAAACTAAAAAAAATCAATTTTTAAAATTTATCTAGTAAACATATGTTTTTGTTGCCCGCGTAAGGCCACTTCCAAACACGACGTTTTTTCAAAGCGATAAATAACAAATTAAGTAGATGTGTGCTTCCAAACCAAACGATTTTTTCATGCATACGATTTTGCGATTATTTTAATAACAAACTAGCTTGATTTTTTTAACGATTAAATGGCGTCTGATACAATTGAAATGAATAAGTAATTTTTTTTAACGTTAATATTCAATAAATGAAATGATTTTAGAGGAAATTTTGTATCTGAATTGATAAATTTTGTAGAAGATCATGATGATTTATGGAACCAATCTAATGATAATTATTCTAATAGATTATTAGTAGATGAACTATGGACTTTATGTGCTAAAAAGTAGAACAAGACTTTATATTGAAAATATTGACTATTTTATAATAATAATTTTTAATTAACAGACTTTTTAATTAGATACTATTTATTAGTAAGCATGGAATAAATTTTAATAATTTATATCTTTATTTAAATAAAATTATTTTTTATCCTTTATTATTTACCAGGCTTGATTCATCCCCAAATGTCTGTAAATTAAAATGGAAGAATTTGAATTCTTATTTAAAGGAAAAGAGAAAGAGAGAAGAAGTGCATTCAGGGGATGCTGCAAAAGCTAGCACTTTATGGAAATGGTATTCACTATCATTTCTTACTACTTCCACCACACCAAGAAAGACACTAAATAATATCACAGATAATAAAGAGAATGTAAGACCTGTAAAAAGGGCTAGAGTAACAAAAGACCCAATGGAAAGATATTTTGACAAAATGTTAGAAATTGATAATGACCCAGATAGATTATGGTGCCTGTCTTTGGTTGATAATGTAAAGAAGGTGCCAAATGAAGTTAAGGACGCCATGAAAATTAATGTGCAAACTCTTATTTATAATTATATAAATAATATTATAGTAGAAAATGTTTAGTTTAAATAGTTATGTATTATATACACATACAAAAGTAATTTATTAATTTATATAAACATACAAAAGTAATTTATTTATTTAATATATAATGATAAAATGTTAAATTAAACATATATTTAAGAATTAAAATAGTCTTTAAATAATTCTGTAGCAATGCAACTTTTGCTTATTCTGCTACTATAAGAGAGTTGTGAATAATTAAGGCCCGTTCTTAAGTATCTTAAATGGTTTTTATATATATTAATAACTAAATATATTACCTTAAAGTAACAAATAATCTCTTTTCAGGAGATATTGTTGTTTTTGCATTTGTTTGTTTATGTATAATTCTAGTTTCAATTTTGTTAAGTATATAATAGAAAACATTCCTAGATAATCCAAGATAGTGAAAGAATTGCGAATCATTTAAATTCTCATTTAAATTGATATAGATCATATACAGATCTCTTTCTTTATAAATTATACTTACTTTTCGTTTTTTTTATAATGTATCCATAATAAAATATCTAAGTTATAAGATTCATTTTAAAAAAATCAGCTGTAAAATATAAATCGTTGCTGTTTGAAAGTAAAAAATATTCGTATCGTGCCGCATGATATACTTTTTTTTTTGTGTTTTGATGTTTTGTCGCGTGACTTTTTGCTTAAGGCTTAAGCTTAAAATTTGTATGCTCAATTTAACAAGCTGATTGATCAATATATACTTTATATATAAATATTACCTTATGATTCCTTCACATTTTAGAAAATATGATAGTTATATACTACTATGTATTACAAATGCACCAAGCTATCATGTGCGGGTAAAGGGATATTTAAAAACAATATCTTTAATGTATCCAAACAATGCTCTGGTATATTTTTTATTAATCTTATATAAAATAATCATATTATAGCTCTTGCCTGCTTAGAAAGTTTATCTAAAATATTTTCTCCAGCATCATTTGAGACCATAACCAACCCAGGTAAATTATAGAATATATTACTATTATGCTATTTTGTTAACCTGAAAATTTTCTTCTTAGAATATATTGCCAATATGCTATCTTGTTAACCTGGAAATTTTCTTCTTAGAATATATTGCTAATATGCTATCTTGTTAACCTGGAAATTTTCTTCTTAGCATCAATTGATATAATCCATTCAGGAACTCCAACCAACCAAAGTAAATTTAAAATATGCTATCTTGTTAACCTGGAAATTTTAATCTTAGCATTACATGATATAATCCATTCAGGAACTCCAACCAACCAAAGAAAATTTATAATATGCTATCTTGTTAACCTGGAAATTTTAATCTTAGCATCATTTATAATCCATTCAGGAACAATTAATTTTTTTAAAGCAAAATGCCCAATATAAATTTATAAAATCTAAATTTAATAAAAATCTACTATTTTCTAATAATTATTTATATTCTCAAAATAGAGAAAATTATTATATGCATACATAGATATTTATTAATTATTAGGTTTTTACCTAAAAATTCACATCACTCTTTATCAATATTATGATCATGCTGTCAAAATTTTCATTTTTTAATGCTTTTTATGCCAAATTTACACCATTTTATATAATATTGATATGCAAAAAGTAATTACCCTAATTTTATATATTACTATTGAAATACAAATTGTAATCATCATTTTATATACAATTAATATTCAATTGCAATATATACAAATTTTTATACACCACCATCAATATACAGTCTTAATAAATATAATTTTATAATTGATATGCAAATTGCAATCTTTATTTTATATACCTTCATCAATATATAGTCTCAATAAATATAAATTTATATACTATTGATATATAAATTGCAATCATTATTTTATATAGCATTATTATACAATTGCAATCATTATTTTATATTTATCAATCACAATAATAATATTTATATATACTATTGATATAATAGCAAAAGTAATAATAAAATTGTTAGGCTTATATTTCATTATTCTTACAACATGCATGCTTATTCATTATATCATATTATTTATAAGTAATGTTGTTAAACGGCTCGATTTGAGCCGATTTTTAAAAATGGCTAACTCAATATTTTATCCAAAAAATATTAGGCAAGCCAGCAGACCTTGCTCAGAGGTAGCATAAAGGTTTGGCATCTATTAGCTAAATCTCGAGGCTTAATCAATATTTTGCTATCGAAAATTTGAATTAGCCGTTTTTAAAAACTTGACTCAAATCGAGCCTTTTAACAATATTTGTAATCATAATACGTATGATAAATAGATTTCCTAGTAAGATAAGTAACTAGAAACCTCTAACAAAATAAATCTCATATTTATAGGGATAACAAGTATAAATCCCTATGATAAAAATTTTTTTAATGGAGTTCCTAGTAGGAAAAGAGATTAACTTCCCATTAATCATTAGAAATCTAAAAAAAAATTAAATATGAGTAAATCTGATATTTATAGGAATAAAAAGTATTTATCTCAACGATAAAAATTTTATTAATGGAGTTCCTAGTAGGAAAAGAGATCAACATATTCCCATTAATCATTAGAAATCTAGAAAAAAATTAAAATATGAGTAAATCTGATATTTATAGGAATAATAAGTATAAATCTCTACGATAAAAATTTTATTAATGGAGTTCCTAGTAGGAAAAGAGATCAACATATTCCCATTAATCATTAGAAATCTAAAAAAAAATTAAAATATGAGTAAATCTGATATTTATAGGAATAATAAGTATAAATCTCCACGATAAAAATTTTATTAATGGAGTTCCTAGTAGGAAAAGAGATTAACATATTCCCATTAATCATTAGAAATCTAAAAAAAAATTAAAATATGAATAAATCTGATATTTATAGGAATAATAAGTATTTATCTCAACGATAAAAATTTTATTAATGGAGTTCCTAGTAGGAAAAGAGATTAACATATTCCCATTAATCATTAGAAATCTTAAAATAAAATTAAAATATGAGCAAATCTGATATTTATAGGAATAATAAGTATAAATCTCTACGATAAAAATTTTATTAATAGAGTTCCTAGTAGGAAAAGAGATTAACATATTCCCATTAATCATTAGAAATCTAAAAAAAAAATATGAGTAAATCTGATATTTATAGGAATAATAAGTATTTATCTCAACGATAAAATTTTATTAATGGAGTTCCTAGTAGGAAAAGAGATCAACATATTCCCATTAATCATTAGAAATCTAAAAAAAAATTAAAATATGAGTAAATCTGATATTTATAGGAATAATAAGTATTTATCTCAACGATAAAAATTTTATTAATGGAGTTCCTAGTAGGAAAAGAGATTAACATATTCCCATTAATCATTAGAAATCTTAAAATAAAATTAAAATATGAGCAAATCTGATATTTATAGGAATAATAAGTATAAATCTCTACGATAAAAATTTTATTAATAGAGTTCCTAGTAGGAAAAGAGATTAACATATTCCCATTAATCATTAGAAATCTAAAAAAAAAAATATGAGTAAATCTGATATTTATAGGAATAATAAGTATTTATCTCAACGATAAAATTTTATTAATGGAGTTCCTAGTAGGAAAAGAGATCAACATATTCCCATTAATCATTAGAAATCTAAAAAAAATTAAAATATGAGTAAATCTGATATTTATAGGAATAATAAGTATAAATCTCCACGATAAAAATTTTATTAATGGAGTTCCTAGTAGGAAAAGAGATTAACATATTCCCATTAATCATTAGAAATCTAAAAAAAAATTAAAATATGAATAAATCTGATATTTATAGGAATAATAAGTATTTATCTCAACGATAAAAATTTTATTAATGGAGTTCCTAGTAGGAAAAGATATTAACATATTCCCATTAATCATTAGAAATCTTAAAATAAAATTAAAATATGAGCAAATCTGATATTTATAGGAATAATAAGTATAAATCTCTACGATAAAATTTTTATTAATAGAGTTCCTAGTAGAACATATTCCCATTAATCATTAGAAATCTAAAAAAAAAAATATGAGTAAATCTGATATTTATAGGAATAATAAGTATTTATCTCAACGATAAAATTTTATTAATGGAGTTCCTAGTAGGAAAAGAGATCAACATATTCCCATTAATCATTAGAAATCTAAAAAAAAATTAAAATATGAGTAAATCTGATATTTATAGGAATAATAAGTATTTATCTCAACGATAAAATTTTATTAATGGAGTTCCTAGTAGGAAAAGAGATCAACATATTCCCATTAATCATTAGAAATCTAAAAAAAAATTAAAATATGAGTAAATCTGATATTTATAGGAATAATAAGTATAAATCTCCACGATAAAAATTTTATTAATGGAGTTCCTAGTAGGAAAAGAGATTAACATATTCCCATTAATCATTAGAAATCTAAAAAAAAATTAAAATATGAATAAATCTGATATTTATAGGAATAATAAGTATTTATCTCAACGATAAAAATTTTATTAATGGAGTTCCTAGTAGGAAAAGAGATCAACATATTCCCATTAATCATTAGAAATCTAAAAAAAAATTAAAATATGAGTAAATCTGATATTTTTAGGAATAATAAGTATAAATCTCTACGATAAAAATTTTATTAATGGAGTTCCTAGTAAGAAAAGAGATCAACATATTCCCATTAATCATTAGAAATCTAAAAAAAAATTAAAATATGAGTAAAGCTGATATTTATAGGAATAATAAGTATTTATCTTAACGATAAAAATTTTATTAATGGAGTTCGTAGTAGGAAAAGAGATTAACATATTCCCATTAATCATTAGAAATCTAAAAAAAAATTAAAATATGAGCAAATCTGATATTTATAGGAATAATAAGTATAAATCTCTACGATAAAAATTTTATTAATGGAGTTCCTAGTAGGAAAAGAGATCAACATATTCCCATTAATCATTAGAAATCTAAAAAAAAATTAAAATATGAGTAAATCTGATATTTATAGAAATAATAAGTATTTATCTCAACGATAAAAATTTTATTAATGGAGTTCCTAGTAGGAAAAGAGATTAACATATTCCCATTAATCATTAGAAATCTTAAAATAAAATTAAAATATGAGCAAATCTGATATTTATAGGAATAATAAGTATTTATCTCAACGATAAAAATTTTATTAATGGAGTTCCTAGTAGGAAAAGAGATTAACATATTCCCATTAATCATTAGAATTCTTAAAATAAAATTAAAATATGAGCAAATCTGATATTTATAGGAATAATAAGTATAAATCTCTACGATAAAAATTTTATTAATAGAGTTCCTAGTAGGAAAAGAGATTAACATATTCCCATTAATCATTAGAAATCTAAAAAAAAAAAATATGAGTAAATCTGATATTTATAGGAATAATAAGTATTTATCTCAACGATAAAATTTTATTAATGGAGTTCCTAGTAGGAAAAGAGATCAACATATTCCCATTAATCATTAGAAATCTAAAAAAAATTAAAATATGAGTAAATCTGATATTTATAGGAATAATAAGTATAAATCTCCACGATAAAAATTTTATTAATGGAGTTCCTAGTAGGAAAAGAGATTAACATATTCCCATTAATCATTAGAAATCTAAAAAAAAATTAAAATATGAATAAATCTGATATTTATAGGAATAATAAGTATTTATCTCAACGATAAAAATTTTATTAATGGAGTTCCTAGTAGGAAAAGATATTAACATATTCCCATTAATCATTAGAAATCTTAAAATAAAATTAAAATATGAGCAAATCTGATATTTATAGGAATAATAAGTATAAATCTCTACGATAAAATTTTTATTAATAGAGTTCCTAGTAGAACATATTCCCATTAATCATTAGAAATCTAAAAAAAAAAATATGAGTAAATCTGATATTTATAGGAATAATAAGTATTTATCTCAACGATAAAATTTTATTAATGGAGTTCCTAGTAGGAAAAGAGATCAACATATTCCCATTAATCATTAGAAATCTAAAAAAAATTTAAAATATGAGTAAATCTGATATTTATAGGAATAATAAGTATTTATCTCAACGATAAAATTTTATTAATGGAGTTCCTAGTAGGAAAAGAGATCAACATATTCCCATTAATCATTAGAAATCTAAAAAAAAATTAAAATATGAGTAAATCTGATATTTATAGGAATAATAAGTATAAATCTCCACGATAAAAATTTTATTAATGGAGTTCCTAGTAGGAAAAGAGATTAACATATTCCCATTAATCATTAGAAATCTAAAAAAAAATTAAAATATGAATAAATCTGATATTTATAGGAATAATAAGTATTTATCTCAACGATAAAAATTTTATTAATGGAGTTCCTAGTAGGAAAAGAGATCAACATATTCCCATTAATCATTAGAAATCTAAAAAAAAATTAAAATATGAGTAAATCTGATATTTTTAGGAATAATAAGTATAAATCTCTACGATAAAAATTTTATTAATGGAGTTCCTAGTAAGAAAAGAGATCAACATATTCCCATTAATCATTAGAAATCTAAAAAAAAATTAAAATATGAGTAAAGCTGATATTTATAGGAATAATAAGTATTTATCTTAACGATAAAAATTTTATTAATGGAGTTCGTAGTAGGAAAAGAGATTAACATATTCCCATTAATCATTAGAAATCTAAAAAAAAATTAAAATATGAGCAAATCTGATATTTATAGGAATAATAAGTATAAATCTCTACGATAAAAATTTTATTAATGGAGTTCCTAGTAGGAAAAGAGATCAACATATTCCCATTAATCATTAGAAATCTAAAAAAAAATTAAAATATGAGTAAATCTGATATTTATAGAAATAATAAGTATAAATCTCAACGATTAGTAAGAAAAGAGATCAACATACTCCCATTAATCATTAGAAATCTAGAAAAAATTAAAATATGAGTAAATCTGATATTTATAGGAATAATAAGTATAAATCTCTACGATAAAAATTTTATTAATGGAGTTCCTAGTAGGAAAAGAGATCAACATATTCCCATTAATCATTAGAAATCTAAAAAAAAATTAAAATATGAGTAAATCTGATATTTATAGGAATAATAAGTATAAATCTCTATAATAAAAATTTTATTAATGGAGTTCCTAGTAAGAAAAGAGATTAACATATTCCCATTAATCGTTAGAAATCTAAAAAAAAATTAAAATATGAGTAAATCTGATATTTATAGGAATAATAAGTATTTATCTCAACGACAAAAATTTTATTAATGGAGTTCCTAGTAGGAAAAGAGATTAACATATTCCCATTAATCATTAGAAATCTTAAAATAAAATTAAAATATGAGCAAATCTGATATTTATAGGAATAATAAGTATAAATCTCTACGATAAAAATTTTATTAATGGAGTTCCTAGTAAGAAAAGAGATCAACATATTCCCATTAATCATTAGAAATCTAAAATAAAATTGAAATATGAGTAAATCTGATATTTATAGGAATAATGAGTAAAAATCTCTACTATAAAAATTTTAATAATGGAGTTCCTAGTAATATTAACCATATTGTATTATATATAATATTGAATTATAAATAAATTATATTAAATAGATAAATAATATTATTAATATATAAAATATGAAATATATAATATAAATTATTCTATTTTAATTATATATTAATTATATTAATAATATTAATTATTACATTATAATTAAATCATATTATATAATTATATATTACTAAAATTTATATTAATATAAATTATATATTTTTATTTATATTAAATTAATTTAATTACTTTAAATATTATATTAATAATATATTTTGTTAAATATTACAATTATATATTTTTATTTATATTAAATTAATTTATTTACTTTAAATATTATATTAATAATATATTATGTTAAATATTACAATTATATATTTATTAAAATTTATATTAAATGATTTTAATATTAATTATATAATTATATTAAATATTTGATTAAGGTATTTACTAAAATTTATAATGATATTAATTTAATATTAAATACATAAATAGAAAAAACTATCTAATCTGTAAAAGTCAAATTTTTGATATTTTTTTAAATCTCTCGCTTCAAACTTATAGGGGCCATTTTGACAGCCATTTTAGCTTATTTGTCTTTTTGTTATTTTTAAGAGTATATAAAGCGGACCCGAACTAAAAATATTGCGAAAAACGTGCCTCGGAAAACGTTTTGATAAAACGTGGTGTTTGGAAGTGGCCTAATATTTGTTAATAACATTTTACCACATTTTATTTAAACATATAAATCACTATATTTAAGAATATATTCAAATGTTTCCATTTTTTTAAATATAAATCGAATAATAGGTAGAACAACAATAGTATAATAGTTAGACAAGCTAATAATTTTTCTTGATAACCCATACTTATAAATGTGAAACACTTCTACAAGCAATTCAAATTCACAAAAAATTATTCAATTAGAAAAATATAAACATTTGATTTCATATATATAACTACAAATTTATATCAATTATTTGTAAATATATGCCAATAAAAAAGACAGGTTTGTAATAAATTTATTTAAAAAAAAGCCTATTTTCCTAATTTTTTTTAAGCTCAACAATAGCACATTTTTTTCAATTCTAATTGTTCTGTCCCAAACATAGAATTATATTTATTTTAGTAAAAAAAAGAAGCAATTTTTTTTGCTGGTTTTCTTAATTTGCAATTTTTATTTAAAAAGTTTTAAATAATATAACTAATAATGATATTTACAATTTTTATCAGAGAGTAATCCAGAAAAATAATAATCTTTAAGCTCAGTATTTTACAAATCTATAAACTGACAAGATGTGCTTATTTTAATTTACATAACTTAATTTTAAATGTTAAGTAATTAAATAATAAATATTAAAAAGGTTAGGCTTGAAAATTAAAGTTTATTAAAAGTGTCATATTTTAATTCACATATTTGATTTGAAATTCTCTGCCTATTCAAAATAAGATATATCCACAAATAGCTTGTTGTTAGATTAAATTATAAGATCTCTAGATTTCCTTCACCATTTCAGAACTTTAATTACCTTCTATATTATCTAATCTTTTTAAAATAAACTTATGTCTAATATTATAAATGTAAATGTATAAACAGGCCATGTTAGAATGAAAGTTTATTAATACCTTGTTAATCAGTGGCGTAGACAAGGGGGGGTCGACCCCCCCCCCCCCCATGGAAATTTTTTTTTTTTTTTATAAAATAAAAAATTATTATTTTTTTATTGCGAATAATTATATTTAAAAAACGGTTTCAATTTAGAGAAATAAGATAATATATAATACAGTATGAATATGAATATCACAATGAAATATATTTATAAAAAAAGGAGTTTTAATTTTAAATGATCACATCGTTTAAAAATATATATAAATTATATGAACTAAAATATTAAATAACAATAAAAGAATAAAGATATATTGTATGTAATTTTAATTTTTTATAATTTTTAAATATGGATATCCGTAAGTTTTTTCGTCAACAACAAAAATAAAAAGGTATATAAAAATTTAAGTTGTGTAATTTGAATTAGAAATATATATAGATATAGATGTTGCTCTTGCTAGTAAAAATCAGCCATCAGTTGAGTTGGTTTTCGTTGTATCCTCAGATGACGAAGGTAATGGTATTATTTATAATATCTTTTATTTAAATCTTGCAATTAGAAAGACCAGACATACCATTACCACTCCATGGGAAAACCAATGATGAGTTAGCTACAAAATCATCAAATGATGGTATATATTCTAAATTATTTATAATTTCGAATATTTTTTAATTAAAATAAGAAACATTATGTGTTACAAAAGCATGTGAGCTATCAGTTGATTTAGCTGGAAAATCATCAAATGATGGTATAGTATTTATTTTAATTCCATTTTTTTTATTTGTAAATTATACTATTTTCATTTTGAGTTATTAAAATTTTGCAATGTACGATATTTAAAAGTTAGTCATTTTTTTGTGTTATTCAAAAGGTAGTACATTATAAGCCAAGCAGAGTTGAGAAGTATTGAAAACAACAATAAGAATAAAGATATATTGTATTTGTAAATAATTTCTGGCATAGTTAAATTAGAATATTAAATAACAATAAAGATATTTTGTAAATATTTTCTGGCTTGGCATAGTTAAATTAGATATTTATAAATTTAATTATTAAATATATATTTTTAAATTTAAACTATTTAGATAGTTTGTTTTGTTTGTAAATTTTAAGTTTTTATAATTTTTAAATATGGATATCCGTAAATTTTTTTGTCAACAACAAAAAGAAAAAGGTATATATTAATTTATTTATAAAATTTAAGTTATGTAATTTGAATTAGAAATATATATGGATGTTGCTAGTGAAAATCAGCCATCAGTTGAGTTCGAAGGTAATGGTATTATCAATATCTTTTATTTAAATCTTGAAATTAGAAATACCAGACATATCATTACCACTCCATCTCCATGGGAAAACCAATGATGAGTTAGCTACAAAATCATCAAATGATGGTATATATTCTAAATTATTTATAATTTCTAATATTTTTTAATTAAAAATAGAAATATTATGTGTTACAAAAGCATGTGAGCTATCAGTTGATTTGGCTGGAAAATCATCAAATGATGGTATAGTATTTATTTTAATTCCATTTTTTTTATTTGTAAATTATACTATTTTCATTTTGAGTTATTAAAATTTTGCAATGTACGATATTTAGTTATAATTTTAAAGTTAGTCATTTTTTTGTGTTATTTTGCAAAAGGTAGTACATTATAAATCAAACAAAGTTGAGCAGTATTGAAAACTTGTATCTACAATACAAACAGAGTTGGGCAGGCCCTCCAGAAAAATAATCTAGATACAGATTTGTTGTGAAAAAATGAATCTTAGATACAGATGATTTATCATTACCAATTAAACTAGAATAGTTTATAAAATACAGTTTTTATTATTTATTTGTGAAGAACATAATTATTTTCTTAAAATCTTTTGTATATACAATCTTGGGCAGCTTATAATATTTAGGAACTTATTTTCATAATTTAAATATTACCATCCTACAAATATAAAAATATTAATTAAAATTGGTAAGATATTCTATAGTAATTTCCTTCTACTTGTATCTGTCTTTAAATTTTTATTAAGAAACTTTGATATCTATCTGAGATACATTTTTTATAATCCAGATTTTTTCCTTGTGCTGCTCAGCTCTTAACATTGAAATTCATATTGAAATATATCATTTAAAATCTAAAAAAAAATATAGAAACACCACACCGTTCTCAAAAAGATGTTTCACTTTACTTAAATTTTCATTTTAAAAATGATAATGAAAAATTGTTAGCTGTTGAAAATATTTGGATACCTGACAAATGTTATAAATTTCCATTGCCCTTGGGCAAAAGAAATTTAACCTTTCACTGGCTTAACAAATATAAGTGGCTTGCTTACTCAGCCGATGAAAAGGGCGCATTTTGTAAAGTTTGCGTCATATTTTCCCCAAGATATGCTGGAAATGGGTTACAAAAACTCAAAACATTGGTAAGTCAGGTGTACATAAGATGGAAAAATGCGCTCGAAAATTTTAATTATCATCAAAAAAATAAATATCATCTTAATTCCTGTGAGATAATGGATTCTTTAAAAGAAATCTCAATGAATCAAAAGATATCAATATCCAATGTATTGAATAAAATTTTTTTTGATATTGTTACAAAAAATCGATCAAGAATAATTATAATTATTGATGCTATCATTTAGTTAGGGAGGCAGGGCTTGGCGTTAAGAGCTCATAGGATATCCCCTGGCCCCCTAACACTTACATCCCCTTCTCACAATGAAGGAAATTTCAAGGAATTATTGAAATTTTAATGTAATAATAATGACAACTACCTAAAGCTTTTTGAAAGCTCCTCTAAAAATGCTACTTACCTAAGTCCCACTATTCAAAATGAAATAATATCAATATGCAATCAGTTTATATTAAAGGAAGTTTCTTCAAAAGTCAAAGCATCACCATTTTTTAGTGTTTTGGCGGATGAAACTTCCGATATTGGTAATATTGAACAACTATCCATAGCAATAAGGTTTATTGATATGGAATCAGGTAATTATAAAATGAAGGAACTATTTGTTTAATTTATTGAATTACCGGACACTAAGTCAGAAACGATTGCTAATCAAATTATTAAATCACTTCAAAACCTGGATTTAAATTTAAATCTACTGAGAGGCCAAGGGTACAATGGAGCTCCCTCGATGAGTGGCCATGTTAAAGGGGTCCAGTCAAGAATTAGAGAGCTTTATAGCACAGCTCTTTATGTTCACTGCAGTTCACATTGCCTGAATTTGATGATAACTGAGGCATGTGAAATTAGAGACATCCGGAACAGTTTACGTAAAAAGATTTTGATTTAATGGAAATTTATTAGATTTTATTATGTATTATAGATATCTTTATATAATTTTTATATATTTTTCAAAATTTAGAAACAATATCGTCGGTTTGTGACTTCTTTACCCCACCCAAGAAGAGGGAGATTTTTACCCAAACGTTAAATGAAATTGATTCAAAAAATTCAAAAAAAAAATTCAAAAGATTTTGTCCCACAAGATTCATTGAAAGACAACAATCGGTGAAGGTTTTTATCGAGTTATATGAGGTTATTTTTGCGGCACTGGAATCATACATATTACGCAAAGAAAATGATTCCGCAGATGCGGAAAATCTTTTACAGGCTATTACGAAGCCTCAATTTTTAATTTCAATTCAATGTGTTTATTTTTTATTTAATTATACATATGATTTTAGCAAAATGTTACAAAAAATTGATTTGGATTTAAGGGAGGTTATGAATAGGGCAAAGGATATTGTTGAAATATTAACAAATATCAGAGATAATGTGGATGAAAAATTTCACGAAATATATGAGAAAGTAAAGGAGATCGCTAATATGTTTGGGATTGAAATTTTTAAACCTAGAGTAGTTTCTAGACAATCCAATCGCTCAAATATTGATGCATCTACGATTGAGGATTTTTATAAAATTAACATTTTTATTCCACTTATTGATACATTTTTATTTCAATTAAAGGAAAGATTTATAAGTCACAATTTTATTTTAAAAAGCTTTTATTTTCTTTTGCCGGTTGAGTCTGAATTGTTGATTACACTTGAAACGCGAGAGGATATTAAGAACATCTCAGAGTTTTATTCTGATGATTTATTAGGGTCGTATGATAAGTTACTTTGTGATGTCGAATTTTGGTATAAAAATCTTGGCAGAATAGAGTACTCTTTGAGACCAAAAAATGCTTTACAGGCCCTTTCCATGTGTAATTGCACTTTAGATTCCCTGCCCAATATCAAAACATTGTTTTTTATTTTAGATACTTTACCGATTAGTACCTGCACTAATGAAAGGTCTTTTTCAACTTTGAAAAGGTTAAAAACCTATTTAAGAAATAGCACCGGTGAAAACCGTTTAAATGGATTAGCCCTATTAAATATTTATAAAGAGATTATTCTAGATAAAATTTTGATTCTAGATGAATTAGTCAAATCTCAGAGAAAAGTAGACCTCTCTTTATAAATTCAAATCATATAATTGTAATATTTTCTTAGTCATAAAATTTTTATATGTAAAACTTAATTATAATGAATTTTTAGTCATGATATTTTTATACTATATTTAATAATAGTATTGCACCTACAATAAGAATTATTTATATAATATACTCATTTGTATTAAATATAACTGTTAAATTATATTTTTTTAAATTGCATACAAGAATTACTTATATTTTATTGTAATTTTATTTTTTTAAAATATAGATATTTACAATCAATTTTTAAAATAGTAATCTGTATAAAATTTCTAATTTTGAAATTTATTTTTTGTATATAAAATAAACACATAGTAAAATAAAGGGTTTATACTAAATAAAATTGTTAAATTGTATTTTTTTAGCAAGAATTACATATTTTATTGCAATTTTATTTTTTTAAAATATAGTTATTTACATTCAATTTTTAAAATCTGTATAAAATTTATATATTTTGAAATTTATTTTTTTATATATTATTAAAATATATACATAGTTAAATAAATAAAGTTAATAATAAATAAAATCTCTGCAAAATATTGTTATATGCAAAAATTTAATTAAAATAATTATTTTTAACATAGAATAAATTGAATTAATATACAATTTACTTGATAACATTTTCAAAATAATGCTTTCAGTCGCTTATTAATTATAAATTTGGCAAAAATTTTAATTCTAATATTTTTTAATATTTATGCTGACCTGGGTATAATACACAAAATATTGGCAAATTTTGATAAAAGGGTTTGGGGGCGAAGCCCCCAAAAAATTTTTCACCCCCCCCCCCCCCCCCCCCCCCATGGATCAATCCTGGCTACGCCACTGTTGTTAATATAATATATTATTTAACTTATTTTATTATACATACATGCATCACAATTATAAAATAATGTAAAATTTAATAAAAATATTTTGCGAGAGTTTGGCTAGATTCTGGAGTAAATAATTTATTTTCTACTCTATTTTCTAGCTTAGTGAATCTTGGTCCCTTAGATGATGTGCTGTAGTTGTGTATTTTTACATTAACTTTATTTAATATTCAATGTCAATCAAATAATATTTAAATGTAGATTCGTAGATTTTATATTTAGTTTTATAAAATATCATGACATTTTTATAAGTTATGCAAGTCGAATATAAAATGAATTAAATGACAATCAATTAATCTGGGAAATTTTATGAAAAGATAAGAGTCCTTTGTTCAAGATTTATGATTATTGTGTTATATGATAAATAAAATTGAAAGTTTTGGTCATTCATAACAATATGAATTATAAATTGGGCCTAGTCATTATACAATTCCTTTATTTACTAAGAATATATTTCATGATAAAATGGTATATGATTGCAATTCGTATATACATGCATGATTGATTTGTATATGACATTTATAACATTAATAATATATAAAATATATCTCATTTATAACATATCCCCACATATATGATCTTACAACTACTCAATCAGCCGATTTATAGGTTTCCTAGCTCTTTGTGTTTCCGCGTTTCTAGTTTTCCGTTACCTTCCACATTTTCTAAAATCCAACTCTCTATTTTTTATATTTTCTTCCTCTCTCTCTGACTGCATATTTTCTCCATTTTCTTCCTCTCTCTCTGACTCCATATTTTCTTCCCCTGGCCCAGACTTCTCCATTTCTGTAGCGTGTGAAAGTGATTGCCGTGAGATTTCGAATTCTCACACTATCAAAATCTCACGGCTCATACCGTGTGAAAGTGATTTCATGAGATTTTAATTTTTATCGCTTCAAATACATTAGGGGCCATTTAAATATTCAGAATCTTACGGCTAATCAATATTTCAAAATCTCATGGATTTTTTTAAAATCTTACATTACGAATTCAATATGATTAGATTTTCTCAAATTTAAAACGTCAGATTTTAATGTAGCTATCAAATTGAAAATATTTCTATATAATACATTTTAATTTGAAAAGAATGGAATATTGGTGAAGTAAGTTTTTAACTAACACACTATATTATAATATTAGTAATTTTAAATACCTGTCATGAAAACTTTTAATTTTAATTTATCGCTTCAAAAACATTGGGGGCCATTTAAATCAAAATCTCACAACCCATCCGTGGGATTTTGATGGTGTGAGATTTCGAAATCTCATAGATCATTTTCACACGTTACACCAGGTTTTTTTTAAAAAAATTATCAGGCCCGGCCTGGCTGGCCCGGCCCGATTTTTTTTAAAATAAATTATATTTATTTTTGATTTTTATAGCTAATGGCGATTTCAAATATTTGGTTTAAAATATATAACTCGGCCCGGATATTTTTTCTAAAAAAATTTTCAGGCCCAGCCCGGGTGTTTTTTTAAAAAAAAATTACGGGCGCGGCCCGGGTATATTTAAAAAAATTAAAATACGGTCCGGCTCGGGGGCCGGCCTGCAAGTCTGTGAAAAACATACCTAAGAAATACAACTTCTAAAACTAGATTGAATGATTTGGATTTTTTGAATATTCATAGGCATTTTACGCCAAGCAAGGATTGATAATTGAAAAATTAGCTCAAAACATACAAAATATAATTATTCCTAAGAAATTTTTGTGTATTAATTTATATTTCCAACATTTAAATTTTTTATACTTTATATATTTTAAAAGCTCAAAAAATTCAAATTTCAATTTTGGGTCATTTAAGTGATTCATATCGTGGGTTATATTCACTTTATATTTTATAATTCACATTTATTTTATAGTTTTTCAATGCCGGTTTATATATATAATTTTT